GTAGTGAAGTTTTATATTCTTTGATATTGAATAACATTGACTACTGTATAAACAAGAAGTTTCAAAAAATATTTGTTTTTTTTTATATCCTTCACTACACTGTGGTACAGGGTATTATGTCTTTGTGCATATGTTTGTAACAGGCAAAAGGTAACGAGTAGACCCATGGTTCCTTTTGACAATATGCATAGAATCACTTTCTAAGTCGATTTATGCATGACCGTCCGACCGTCGGTCTGTCAATTTTAACTTGTAAACAAGGTACAGGTTGAATTTCTGATCCAAATTGGACGAAATTTGGCACAGCTCATCAATTTGACCCAATGACGAACCCTAATGAAATTGGGAATGTAAATGGTGCTCTAAAGTCTCTAGATATCTTTTGGTTTGCACGAAATCTGGCATTCCATACTGAAGTCTAGAATGATGTGTAATAAGTTACGTGAAAATCGGTTCAGATTTAGATATAGCTCCCACATATATATTTTCGTCCGATTTTATGTAATTGGTGCACCAAAGTCCCATAGCATAGAGTACTAAATTAAGTCTAGAATGGTGTGTACAAAGTTTCGTGAAAATCGGTCCAGATATAGATATTTCTCCCATATATGTTTTCGGCCGACTTAATGTAAATGGTGTACCAAAGTTCCTATATATCTTTCGATTAGCACGAAATTTGGCGTAGTTGAGTCAGGAATGTGTGTGTCAAGTTTCGTGATTTAGATATAGCTCCCACATATACATTTTCGTCCGATATAAGATAAATGGGGCATTATATATATATATACATTATTTTATGTAAATTATGCACCAAAGTCCCTATTTATATTTATATTTGTACTTAGTTTTGCTTATGGTACTGAATTAGGTCCAGAAAGAGGTGTGCTAAGTTTCGAGAAAATCGGTTCAGATTTAGATATAGCTCCCATATATATTTTCGTCCGATTTAAGGTAAATGGGGCACCAAAGTCCCTATATATCTTTCGATTTGCACGAAATGTGGCAAAGGCATAGAATTAGGTCTAGAATGATGTGTGCTAAATTTTGTGAAAATCAATTCAGATATAGATATAGTTTCCATATATTTTTTCATCCGATTTTATGTAAATGGCGCACCATAGTCCCTATATATCTTTCGTTTTACATGAAATTTGGCCTATCGTACTGAAATAAGCCTAGAATGATGAGTGTTATGCTTCGTGAAAATCGGTTAAAATATAGATATAGCTCACATATATGTTTTCGTCCGATTTAAGGAAAATGGAGCACCAAAGTCCTCATATATCTTTCGATTTGCACGTCATTTGGCATAGGGTACTGAATTAGGTCCAGAATGATGTGTGCTAAATTTCATGAACCAACCACCTGTGCATGAGGTGGTTGGATACATCGAGAAGAATATTGAGTCCTCTGGCTACACGTTGGCAGCAATCCTCGATATCGAAGGAGCTTTCAATAATGTGAAGCTAGAGGCCATCCATTCTGCTCTAGGTATCCCCTCACTCCTTACGGAATGGATTGATAGAATGCTGGAAAGTAGAATTATCAACTCATCATTAGGAGAGAGTTCCGTGAGGAAATCTGTCAACAGAGGCACACCTCAGGAAGGAGTACTTTCCCGCCTTTTGTGGCTTCTGCTGATAAATGAGATACTTATGAAATTCAATCATCTCAGGATAAAGGCGGTAGCGTATGCCTATGATGTAGTCTTGCTGGTTGGGGGTAAGTTTATAACGACAATATCAGACATCGTGGAGGGTGCCCTTTCAACCCTGTCTAATTGGGCTTACACTAAAGGTCTTGGAGTAAACCCCACTAAAACCGAACTGGTGCTCTTCACTAGGAAGCACAAAATTCCTAGTTTCCGTTTGCCATCACTTGGTGGAGTGGCTTTAACCCTTTCTGATGAAGCTAAATATCTTGGCACTATCCTAGACAGCAAGTTACTGTGGAATAGGAATGTTGAGGAACGCTGCAAGAAGGGATTGCTGGCACTCCATTCATGCAAGAATTCCATAGGCAAGAGTTGGGGATTGAGAACCGGAATTATACACTGGCTGTATACGACGATCGTCTTACCCATACTTACTTATGGTTGTCTTGTCTGGTGGCAGGGGTGAAAAAAGAAACTGCTGACAAAACTGAGCTTAGTACAGCGATCGGCTTCAATTCTGATCACCGGAGCATTAAGAAGTACACCACAGGCAGCCTTGAATGCAATCTTGAGTCTCCAAGCATTGGATATTCTGATAAAATTCCAGGCGGCCAGGTGTGCCCTGAGACTCCGGGAAACATATGCCTTGAAATCGCTGAACTATGGTCATGCCAGCATCCTAAACATAACGCCAGGTTATGACCTCTTTAGGGGGGATAGTCATATCAGTGATTATATTCCCCCCACAGGGACTTTAATTACATCAAAGTTGAATTTCTTAGTAGGGAATCCTGGACTAGTGGCTCGCTACCTCTGCCAGGTCTGTCAATCTTCACAGACGGGTCCAAGATGGAGGTAGGCACTGACGCAGGCGTCTACTGTAGGGAATTAGGTATACAGAACTCATATAAACTGAACAATGACTGTAGCGGTTTTCAAGCAGAGATTCTCGCAATCACGAAAGCAGCCGAGATAGTAAAAGCACTTAATGCCGACATTACGGGACCGGTGACTATTTATGTAGATAGTCAGGCGGCCCTGAAAGCGGTGAAGTCGCATACTATAAACTCGAAAGCAGTTCATGATTGTAAGATCGCTCTGAATGATATACGACAGATAGTTGGGCTATGCTGGGTTCCAGGACATAAAGACATTGAAGGGAATGAGATAGCCGACGAGCTTGCTCGAGGGGGATCACAGTCGTCCAGTCTTCTGATTGAGAGATCTGTGAAACCCCCCATTAGCTATTTCATTGGCAGAATCCGTGCGTTCCATTGCGAGGTAGTCGGTAACATATGGTTAAGGGAACCTGCTTGCAGAATCTCTAAATCTATCTGGCCAGAATTCTCTCGTAAAAGAACGTCTTCGCTGCTGGAACACAGCAAGAGGGAGATCAAAATCGTTGTGGGGATTATTACTGGTCACTGCAAATTTAGATCTCTCACTTCTAAGTGGGACTCCAGTGGAGAGGATTACTATCGTCTATGTGTGGACGAAGAAGAACTGGAAACAATTCGATTTGCACGAAATTTGGTATAGCGCACTGAATTGAGTCTACAATTACATATGATATGTTTTGTGAAAACCGGTTCAGTTTTAGATATATTTTCGTCCGATTTTATGTAAATAATGCACCAAAGTCCCTATATATTCATCGATTTTCACGAAATTTGGTATGGCGTGCTAAATGAAGTCTAGAATGATGTGTGTTTAGTTCCGAGAAAATCGGTTCAGAATTAGATATAGCTCGCATATATATTTTCGTACCATTTAATGTAAATGGTGTAGCAAAGCCCCTATATATCTTTCGGTTTCGACCAAATTTGGCATAGCGTACTGAATTGAGTATAGAATGGGTTGTGTTACGTTTAGAGAATATCAGTTCAGATTTATATATATTTTCGTCCGATTTAGGCAACTAGTGCATCAAATTGTTAGTACAATTGACATGAAATTTAGCACAACGTACCATATATATTTTGAACGGTTGTCTGATTGAGATTTTATTTTTAACAGAGCGGCATACTTAGTAGCGTGTATCAAGTTTGCTTTAAATCGATTTCCATAAATTTGTCCCATTTTACGCAAACGATTCTAAATCTTCCGATTGAAATTAAATTAAGCATATGTTGCAGAATGGTGTATGTTCCATTGAGGGAACATTGACATGTTAGGATACATATGTACAATATACATAAAGTGGTTAAGGGTAACATATAGTCGGCCCAGTCCGACTTTACTACTTTCCTTGCTGGTTTATAAAATAATTTTCCACACCCAGTACAGCGTAGATTTTTTAAACAATATTTTCCAGACCTACAAATGTGCACATTTGCTAAATAATAATATTTGCACCATACCTACTAAAATGCAGATTTTGTAAGTAATATTTTTCACGACCCATTAAGGTGGAAATATTAATTAATAATATTTTCACCAGGCCAACTAAGGTGCAGATTTTTCAATAATACTTTTTCCAGAAGAATATATTTTCCAGACCAACTAAGGCGAATATTTTTTTTGTAAATAATATTTCCTCCTCAAAGGCGTAGTTTTTTTAGAAAATATTTTTCTCAGGTCCACAAAGACGTAGATATTTTAGAAACAATATTTTGTATATTTATATGCTTTCAGATTCGTGGAAAGTTTCATGTGAGGACCCAATTCAAGTAAAATTACATAGAAATACCAGTCAATGATCCTAATTTAACTTACCCTGTTGATTAGTCGTTCTTAGTAGTTAAACAAATTAAACCATTCCATAAAATAGGGTTCAAAGTTCATATAAAGGTGTTTACGTTTTGTTTGGAAATTTGTTTTTTTTTTTCTATTTGGAATAAAGCAACAAAATCTACAAAGGCGAGAAATTCCTAAAGGCAGCAGTTTGACCACAATAGAGGCCAACACCTTTTTTGTTTTATTTGCGGGGTTTTACGTGAATTCATTAAAGCCAATGTTGATGTTGTTTTTTTTTTTCAAAAATATGTTTAGTAATTATTATCAATGACCATTATCGCTAATATTAGCGCATATATATGTTTATGTATTGGCAACACAAATACAAGAAAATGATGCGTCATTATTGGTCATCAGAAGCATATTTCTTGCATATACGCTGCAAGAAGAAGAAAAGAGATCCAATCGTCAACATTGGTTAATTTTGCAAGATCTCTCAACAAAGAATGGCAAACTTTTGTATTTCTTTTGTTGTTGTTGTTGATGTTGTCTGTTGTTATCTAATGAACGTTTTCTAAACTGGTGTATATAAATTGCTGTTAGCTGACCACAGAAGCCAGAGTTCAACGTAGTACTCATCAATAAAGAACAAATCAAAATACATCGCAAAATGCGTGCCTTCATTGTAAGTTAGAGGATAAAAAAGATGCTATCAAGAGCATTATTAATAACCTTCATTCATATTTTCTTCTATTTTTAGGTCTTGTGCTTGGTAGCAGTCGCTTGTGCCGACAAATTGGGTTACAACTACAAACCCGTTGGTCACTCAGACAGTGGATTGTCTTTCACTCCAGGTTACTCTGGCGTTGAATCAACTTTCGCCCCTGGTGCAGTTGGTAGTGTCAGCTACGTTGCTCCTGCCTATACCGCTCCCGTTGCCGAATTGGAAAAGGAATTCTACACCTTCTCTGCCCCCGAAGGTGAATTCAATGATCCTAATGCCGCTGAACGTGTTGCTGGTAGCTTGAAGAAGGGCATCCGTGTCATTTTCATCAAGGGCCCCGAAAACAAAGGTTTGGAAGATGCCGCCTTGGCTTTGGCCAAACAAGCTGCCCAACAACAAACCGCCATCTATGTCCTCAACAAACAAGCCGATCTCGGCGAATTGGCCAACAAACTCAACAACATCAACACCGGCAACAACAACAAACCCGAAGTTCACTTCGTCAAATACCGTACCCCTGAAGATGCTGCCAATGCCCAACGTGCCATCCAAAGCCAATACGACCAATTGGGCGGTAAATCACAAAACTACAATGGTGGTGTTGCTCCCGTTATTAACTTTGCTTCTCAACCAGCTGTACAAGCTGCCACAGCTCAAGTTCCTCAAAATGCCTACTTGCCCTCATCCATTTTCCGTCACCGTTTCTAAACACTAAATTCAAAACTTAGTTTAGTGATGCGTGAGAGAGAGAGTTAAATAGGTCTGTAATTTGTTAAGGTCTCAAATTGTTTTGTTAAATTGTTTGTTGACTACTGAGTATTTAAATTTTTCGAATAAAAAACGAATTATTTGTTAGTATTTTGAATTATATTTGGTTTTCTTATGATAAAGTGGGATATTTTATTAATTTTATATACTGGATTCGAAATTGCAATGCAACGGTATCATATGTAAGGCTGATGTTCACATTCAGTGCATTTGGAAATGCCCGACGACATCCTAATATTGCATATTTATTGCATATTCCTTGATCGTAGTTTAATCTACCAACATTAGGGTTCATATACATCCCTGAAAATGCGATGTTGGTCGGATAAAAAATTATCAGATAAACTAAATATATACCCCTCTGAGAGAACTGGATCTTCATATTTTGGTAGACGCGATTCCGGGCTGAATTAGTACCTATGTAAAAGTTCATGAAAGTTCAGTTCGGAATTTATTGCGGTCTTTCCACACCGGTCAATAACCTATTTAAAACCACCCAAAGGATCTTCAAGTGACGTGTAATAATCAATATTGTAGTTGCGGATACAAAGATTTGAACAAATGTAAAACTATTTAGCAACTTTTGTATTGGAAATTGTAACTGAAAAGTCCAAAAGGATGAATGAAGATTGTTAAATTCCACCGGACAAGTTTTTGAGTTATGACGTGAGGACTTTTTTCCATGAGGAATCTATAATCATTGAAAAAAAAAATATTTATATTTTTTTGCACCTATTTTGGGTAATTTTTAAGATTTCAAGTCTGTCAAATTGAATGATCAAATGTTTTTTTTTTATTTTTTTTTTTTTTTTTTTGCCAAATCTCGACATCAGTCGACAGTTCGCATTGTTAACGTAGGACGGTCAATTCTTTGTCATATACCACAATTAGCTTTCGAAGAAATTCGTTATTGTTCACCATGACAATGTGATCTCATATTGTCGTATGCCGTATTGAGTCTATAATGATTTGTGCGAAGTTTCGTCGAAATCGGTTCAGATCTAGATATAGCTCCCATATACATATGTATTACTGTCCGATTTTGGTGCACTGAAATCCCAATGTTTGTCCGTTTAAGACGGATGATCTCATATTGCCATATTTGTCCGATTAAGACGGAATTTGAATTCTATGCCGTATTGAGTCTATAATGATGTGTGCGAAGTTTCGTCGAAATCGGTTCAGATCTAGATATAGCTCCCATATATGTATTCCTGTCCGATTTTAGGTAAATGGTGCACTCCAAATGTTTGTCCGATTAAGACGGAATTTAGAATGCGTATCGAGTCTATAATAATTTTAGGTAAATGGGGCACTAAATTCCCATTATTTGTCCGATGGACACGAAATTTCGCATATTGTATTGAATTGAGTCTAGAATGTTGTATGTTAAGTTTTGTTGAAATTGGTTCAGATTTAGATAATGCTCCCATATATACCCTACATTACCTTACACAATTACCTACGGAACTCTAACTTTCTGGCCATTATTTCGTGATATATGGACCATCTGGTTCATTAGGGTCAACAACATATCTTCCTTACTGTGGCAAAATTTCCGAATGTTAGTAATATTCAATACAGCCCTTCTAATTACTTGTCCAGATTCCCTTCACCATGGGTTGTGTTGTGATGTTCGGCTTATAATTGTGGTCTATAGATTGACTCGAAAAAACACAAAAATTAAGTTTTCGGTCCACTTCATCTCAAAATTATTATCAGATAATTGCCGAAAATTATAGGCGTCATCCTTGACTTCATAAACAATTTTCAAAACGGTTAACGCTATATTTCCGCCATCTAATGTGGTAATGGGTTACTAAATAATATCTGAATACGTAGACACCTGTAAATATTCAAGTGTAACTCCCACATCCGAGTACATACGACACCGAAATTGGTATCAATTTAAAGGTCAACCACACCTCTAGGAAATACTATAAACTTCTCCTGCCAATGTCCTTTAGGAGGAAACTCTTACATCATAGAATACACATTTTGTCGTTTTTCACACAAAAGTTAGGTCCATTTGACCCGCTAATTACTGACCAATCATTATCAAAACAGACATGCTGAGTTTTTGTCCCAATACCTTCTTCATGTAAAATATCGCGATTTCGGTCCATAATTGCGGCCTCTGGAACGACCAGAAAAACCGACAAAAATTAAATATTTGGTCCATTTCATCCCCTAAATATTAACCGATCTTTGCCAAAACAATAGGTCTTCATTGTCCTGAACCGGTCCTACATGCAAAATTTCATGAAGATTGGTCCATGACTGTGGTCTGTATCGTGTTTACAAATTATAATGACATGCGGACGGACGGGCAAACATGTCTAGATCGACTCAGCTAGTCGTGATATGACGATCGGTATACTTAAAGGTGGGTCTAGGACCAATATTTCGCTGCGTTAAAAAATCTTGGGGCTGCAAGAAGCTATAATACCGTGACAACATAGTTGTGTAGGGTATAATGATTGTCGGAATGCAAAAAAAAAAAAAAAATAGTTTAACGAAAGAAAACGATCACTGAATTCTTCTTGCGCCCCTACAACAAAAAACAGTAAGGAAAGGTCAAAAGTCGGTCGGGGACGACTATATGATACCCTTCGCCACTTTTATGAAAAATTGAATGCCAATCATCGACCAAAATATGTAAAAGATCTATATGTAAATGAACACAGTGCGCTATCCAAAATTTATTTATCTCGACACAAAATCCAATACAAAACTAGGCATCAATCTAGACCTAATTCAGTACTCTATATTAAATTTTCTTCCAATCGGACAAACATCTATAGTATGGTGCACCATTTACATAAAATCAGGGGAAACTATATATGGTAACTTTATCTAAACCTGAACAGATTTCAATAAAACTTCGCATACATAAATTTGGACCTACTTGAGTACGCTTGTGCTTCATTTTCATAAAATCTTACGAAACTATATATGGGAGCTATATCTAAATCTAAACCGATTCCAACAAAACTTGACATACATCAATCTGGGCCTAATTCAATACTCTGTGCAAAATTTTGTATCAATTGGACAAATATTTTGAGTTTGGTGCTCCATTTACATAAAATGGACGAAAATATATATGGGAGCTATATATAAATATGAACCAGGGATGCGAAATTAAATTATTCAAATTGTACTGGCTTTCAATAAAAAGTGTACTTTTTTTCAGTCCGATTGTACTTTTTATATATTTTTTTAATAAATTTCTTATTGTTATTAACGAATAAAAAAAACACACATTAAGAATTCATTTTTATATACACATAGATAAAATGAAAACTTAAAAACACCTCCATAGGTATACTGACAGATACTTGAAATGAAAATATAGGGAACATACCAAAAAGTGAACCTATACCGATAATTCTACAAACAGTTTATGTAAACAATTGTGTACACCAAATACAAATTTCAGCAATTTGTAATGGAAACCCCAAAGCGTGGACTTATACTAATAACGCATGGTATATACTAATAAAGCTTGGAATATACAATCCTCAAACTACTGCAATTTAGATTACATGGTGTAGGAATTAGCGAATATTTGGGGTTATACTTATATGAGGGCTATGCCTAATTATTGACCGATATATATATATATATATATATGGAACACAATATTTTAATTATGTATCTCAATTCTTCCCTTCAGGAATTATCATTATATGGAGATGATGCCTGAATCCTGCCGACATACATGAAATACCAATTTCAATTTACAACAAAGTCTTAGAACCCGACGCAAAACGTGGAACAAATCAGATAACTAATAGGGGACGAATATTAATAATTTTTGGGAGGGAGGTTTGTTACCATATGCGATTACAAAAAACCAAATTTCAGCGAATTCGGTTTAAAAACGGTTTAAAATATCGAAAATTGGGCTGTACCCTTATATGGGGGCTATGCCTAAACATGAGAACTTGCA